CCAGGGCAAACTAAATCCTTTCACAAAACAACACAGGCCCTTTTAATTCTGATATTACTTCCCTATAAAATACTAAACCTTGAGTTTTAGAGCACTGATGTGCTCTGTTCCAGTTTAGCCATGTTCATTCTAGGTCAAGGAGATAATTCTGTGAGCTTTGAGTTTTCTTTGTAGCCTCTTACTTCTCTGGTGAAAAATAAACTGCAGTATAGTCTCAGAATTAACATAGTGTTTAAAGTCTGAAATGCTGTGGTTTAATGAGAAATATTTTGCAGTATAATTACTGCTCCTAAAAACATTTGGAAGGAAGACAGAAGCGACTTTATGTAGGTGATAATGAACTGTGAGGCTAATTATGAGATGTAATATGCATATATTTATATATAAATTGATAAAATAGTAATATAAGTTTTAACACTTTAAAAATGTCTAGGAAATCTGTGTTTGGGCCAAGAAGTAGCTTTTCAGAGAAGATGGTGTGATGTGCATCTTTTAAGTCCACTGGCAGCACTGACAGCCCACACCCTTCAGATTTAGATTCCAAAAGAGCAAATTATTTTGAATTTTGAGGTGTGTAGATCTTAGGTACCGATTATTTGGTTTATATTGTAAGACTTTCTTTTTTCTTGAACCGAATTCAGCATGAAGTTTTTAAGGGCATCTCCACCATACAAGTTATTACCATAAATTATGGGATGGTAGTGGAAAGACAAAGGCATCAAGATCTTACTGTGTTTCTCCTGAGCCTGGCTCTGTAAGAACAGACTTATAAAAACTAAGCTGTTTTATCTGGTATATGGTAGATTATCTTCAATAGAGAGATAAGAGAGAACAAGTTGACCATTCAGAAATTACTGTTGTTGATCTATGAAACAGATGGAAAAAGACTTTTGTTAAGCTGATTGTGTAAAATGGAGTGTAGAAAAGAATCTGAGTATGAAAATAAACTTGCAGTTCCATGGTCACACTGAACCACATATTACAGCATATTGACATGTGATTTATGTATTTGTAGGGGGGATTTATCTGTACTGAGATGGTTATTAGACACCACAGGAACAGAAGTAGCTTTTATATTGTTAGATTGAGATAGGTGGTGTAAATACTAATTTTCAAAGCGCGAGTTAACTCATCCAGGTTTTTCATTTTAAAATCCTTTCTCCCATTATAATTAATATTCAGTTTTAGCAGTGTGATCTCAGTGTAAAATCAGCTTATCTTTCAGACTGACATGGATTAGGAATCTTGTTTTGATAAACAGTCTACAGACCTTCTGAAAAATCATAGGGCTTATGCATAAACTTTGAAATAAGGACATGTAAAAGTAAATGGATTTGACTGAGTTTTAATGTGAACAGATATATAGAGCCTGACCATACAGAAAGGTCAGACTGTAGATATGCTTTTGTATATCCACATGAATTAAGTTGTTCCATTTCAAGCAGTAATTTACTCTTGGCTTCCCAGGTAGAGGTGCTAAGATTTTTTTTTTAAATTTTTTTTTTTTTTACTACTTCTACTTGGTATCCTTTCAGATGAAGGATTATACTTACACAGTTTGGAAACTTCAATGTCCTGAACAATGATGTAAGAACTTTATTTAATTTGTTTTGCAAATAAGTCAAGCCTTTTTTCCTCATTTAGCAGATGTGCTGGTAACACACAAAATTCTTTGTACCAAACAAAAACCAAAACAAAGTGTATTTTAATGACTTAAAAGTTCTGTGACGTGTTCACACGACAAGTACCTTTTCTTGCAAATCAATGACAGTTCTTTTCACAACCCTTCTTTGTATTAGTTTAGTAAAAATAGCCAGTAATTTTTATAATATGCCATTGTAATTTGTATGTGCTATGGGGGTCATCTTGTCTATAGCAGACAAGAGAATCTCATGCATTTTAAGTACAAATTGGTTTTTCTGCCACCACTGATATATTTCAGAGTCAGGAACAGTGTTAAGCCTCAGTTTCCTGTACCACTGTTGTCATGTCTGTAAATGCAGATGTCTCCTCACAGCGCTCGCAAGAGTCGTGATTCACAGTCACCTTTATTTTCATGTCGGTTTTATGTTTACTTATACAATTTTTATCACAATTCCTTATTCATATTAGATAGTTTGCTGTCTAAGCTACTATGGTAAAAGGTAAAAATTAATTATAAATACAAAAAAGTAGTTCCTGCTGTTGGTCTTTTCCTGGTCAGTGTGTGTCTTGTGAGCAGATCTTTGCTAATGAGCATTCAGAGTTAACAGATGGTATTGCAGATATGGGTACAACTGAGGGCAAAATCAGGATGCTCCTAGAAATGTAAGAATTTAAGATGGAGACAATGGAAAAAGGCTAAAGTACTTAGATGTTGCACGAATAAGAGAGGTGGTATTTTTCACTAATGCCAAAAAAAGTTTAAAGACCACAACATCAACCGGATTGAGACTGCAAAACGAATACTAGGTTCTTTTGCTGAAGATGCCAGCTTTCTGTACTCTGAGTGATACCAATCAGTCCACCCAGTTAGTTTTTCTCTGTAGTGAAAGGAATCTGATTACAGTGGAAGTGAAATTATGGCTGTAATAGTTAACCCTCATTTCTTAGAGCACAGCCAAACAACTGAACCCAACACTGCCAGAGATGTGTAGGCATTACTATTTTTAAAACACATCATGCACCAGTTTACGTTTCAGAATTTTAGGTTCAATGCCAATTTCACTTTGCATCAATACTTCATTTTCTTGTCATTACTATTTCTAGAAGCCTAGAGAAATCATTATTCCTTTGGGTTTGTGTGCACCTATTGCCATAGTAAGGGTTGGATCTGCCATTGCAGTAATACAGGAGAGCTCCCTCTAGGAGAATTTTGCTCTGTATTGGGAATCTGGGGCAGGTGTTAAACAGGCAGGAGTGTCTTGACTTTAATCCCTAAACCAGAACAGATAGCAAAGAAGGGGGGAAAGCAAAGCTTGTAGAGGTGGAGTTGGGAATACTGGGAAAAGTTGCACTCAAAAGACATGACTGGCTGTGGGAGCTCACCTGTGTGCTCTGGGGCAGCCAAAAAGCACCTGTGCTCTGACCAGGGATTGGGAAAATTATGAGAGACTGAAATATTACCCAAGCCATTTGGGAACTTCTTCAATAGAGCTGTGCCCTTTTCCACACAGACCTGGGCTTTGGAGGCTTGCTATTCGTGTTATTAATACAGGTTTACTGTTCAGAGACAACATAACTTAGGGAAGAGTAGGGATCATGTTGTTTTTATCACATGGATAAATGTAGCTCAAAAAGAAAACTTAATCATGCAAACCTAGCACTTACAGGAGTTATAAAGATAAAAATGACCTGTGTAAAATTACATACTTGTAAAAAGAATCTGGAACTAACAGACTGTCAGAAATAACATTCTGTGTCTTACAGGTCATGGTGAGGTATTTATTACTGAAGGTGTAGAATTTACCGAAAATATTACTGAAAGTAAATGAAATCTGTCAAATGTTTTAATTTAATATTCAAAAATTTTTCAAGTCAAACTTTACTAGATTTTTTTTTTTAACACTTATCTTTTGCGTGAAGTGCATCTAAAAATAATACCCATTTTCATACCTTCAAATTGGAATACATTCTGGGACCAGCACAAAAACTGACACCAGGATACAGCCCGATGGGTCTGATACATGAGCTTCTGATGAAGTTCTTTCTGGACATCAGACAGCAGTAACTTTGCAGTTGGGAAGTGCTGAAGAAACTCAATTCCCCTCTTTTTTTTTTTTTCCTTAAATGTCATACATTCTAAGCATTTGTAAAAAATATTACAAAAATGCTTTGTCATTCTAATGAACATCTGTGATTGCAGCTGTTGTTCATCTTTTATTTTAAAGATTTTTCAATTGCTAACATCATATATTAAGATAATTTTTTTTGTTTGTTTGTACTACAGTCAGCACAACAAACACTGGTTTGACACCTGTAAATAAAGGCTATGCCCAGTGCAAGGTGGCAGGTCAGCTATAGAGAAAGGTTTCACATACAAAAAATACCAGCATAAGCTCAAACCAACCAGGAAATAAAATGCAGACTAATGTGTAAGTCATGGTAAGTATTGCTGGTGAATTGTGATGTGTGCAGCAGCGACTGTGTGTTACTCAGAGCTGCTGAGAGGGCCACTGAAACAAGCCTGCTGTACAGGTGCTAGATTGTGATATAAGAAATAGTCTGTACAGTATCGCACTATATAAAAAGTTTAAAAACCACAATGAGAATATATTTTAAAAAAATTTTTTATATTGTAAAAATTTTAGAATTAGGTCCAAACCACCATTAAAAAAGGTATGAAATGTGCAATTTTGCAAGTGGAAACAAGGGGCACGAGAAGGGTTCCATAAGGGTTAATAAGAATTGCTTTGTGAATTCTCTTTGTTCCCAGTATCTTCATAGATCTGGTAATCACACAGACCTCAGAGCAGTTCCCTTCAGGCAAGTAGGACACGAGCTAAAAGTATCACCACTGATTTCAGTAGGGAAGATTGGCTGCAACAAGGAGTAAAAGGCTATTTTAAGAGACAAATGTACAGTACAGTCTATTTATGTAAATACTTGGAAAACGCAGGCACAAAATTGTTTCCCAAGTGCAGAGCTGTGAAATCAATGTGCCATATGGAGCTGTAATATATGGCAGAATATTTTAGAATCCTAAACCTTGAAAGAAAACCGTTGTAAAAGTCTGCATCTAGAATAACACAACTACTCACTTGTGTTTTAACCAAAAGCTGCAAAGATTATGTATTTCCAAATGTACTAAAATATAACTTAGTATTTTTAAAAGGCAGTAACCCTTTTCACTTATTTCTCACAATGGATAGAGTGCGGAACTGGTAATTAAAGGCAACAGAATGGTAGGCAAGTGAAACAGATGGCTGTAACATAATTCTTGAGTCTTAACTGGCACTTAACACTAACTCTACTTCCAATTTGACAAATACAATAAGACACCTATGTTGACATACACGGGGTGCACTTAATGACTTTTATTTATGCAAGTGAGGTATTAAAATTGTCTTCAAAAGCAGACGTCTAAAGAAGAGAAAAATGGTAGCCAGAAGAAAATAGTAGCCATTGTTTTCAGTGTTCAGTGATTAGTAGTTGTAGGGTTTTTTCTTCCAATATCCTTTCTTATAATTTCCATGCAAAGTCTCTGTCTTACTCTTCCACTAGATAGGTAGATTGGGAAGATGGGAGGAAACTCCTCATTTTTCAGCAAGAATTAGTTATGAAGACTGGGGGGTTTTTTAAATGAAGTATAATAAGCTAAAAGTGTGTGCATCTCACACGCTGCATATGGTACACTTTTAATATATACACTGTCATTGTACACAAGCATCTTGTATATACACTGATACCACCTTCATCAGGAAGTCAAAAGTCAATAGATAATGAACCTTGTGCCGTATCCTCCCTTCCTCTCACATAAATTTCACATGGAATCTCCTCCATCACCCTGCTCAGGGCACTCATGAGCTTGTTTGAACGTGTAAGTACTTTTCTTGAAGGTGCTGTTAAATGTTTTCATCGGCTGGGGCTGCGCAAAGTCGTTGCGGAAGGGCAGTTCCATGGAGCTGAGGTTGGTCCTGCTCTGTTTTAGGTTCGAGGCCTGGGAGCCACAGTGGTGGTCGTGGATGCACCTGGAAGCTGTTGAAGGGCGTCGCATTTTCTGATAGTTCTCGAGTTCTTCTGATAAATCTGCCAAATCTGCAGAAATTTCTTTGTCCCTTAGTGAAAAGAGTTCATAATGTGGAGGATCAAATACTTCCTGGAAACCGGTTTTATTGAAGGCAGTCTTGCAAGCCATGACCTTTTTGCGAGGTTGCTTTACTTGCACTAGAATTGAAATGATGAGAAGAACTAAAACTATCCCTGATGTGATGCCAATGATTGTCCCATGAGTTTTGGTGATTTGTTCAAACAACCCAGTTCTTTTCTTTTCTGCAAAGAAAAAACGAGGATCACGATAAGACTTACTATTTTCCACACTTCTGATAATGTATTTCAACAAAGCAAATTATGGTGATTGCCATGCAAGTGCCATATTAATAAAATGATTTAATGGCACTGGAGACTAGACCAGTATGTCAATGGGATTTGTCTAATTCCCTGTCATCAGTGGCTACCATATGATAATTCAGTGGCAGGTGGAACTCTGTGACCAGTGCATGCTGACTCAGCTGGGGGGTGATTTCCCTCCTGAACCTTAACCGATCAGTTCGTATTCAAAAATCTGTGAATTAAATAGGCTTAAGTTAACCTTAAATAGGTTAAATCCAGCTACAGATGATGCTTCTCTTGCCATGGTTTGTTCCTGTAGGCAACATTCCCATTGATGTCCGTGGAAGAAAACTTAGATTTAAGATCAGCTAGTTCTTCTTTAAAAGTGAAATATTATCCCAGTGATATCAGATATATGAATGACTGTGCTGTTTGCTTTCACATCTCTTGGATATGTAATGGCTGTGTCTATTTGTGTGAGGATGTTATACCTAATTCAACACAGGGAGCTTTAGCATAGATATATTTGTTTTAGGAGTCCAGTAATCAAGTCAGTTGAGGGGAAAAAAAAAAAGGAGAGGGGAATCAACCAACCCAAATCATACAGGAATTTTGGCTAGTACTTCATATGAAACACACAAGATGGCAGCATCAGAACAAGGCAGTTTTCCATATTTAAAATTCTTATTTGAAGACTCAAATTTTCCAGTTGGATTTTTTTTTTTGTAAATGTTCTTGTCCTAGGGGACTGAAAGATTTCTACGCTGAGGCTCTGCAACATCTGCTAGTGGGGGAGAAAAGCACTTAGGACTATGTAGAAGAAAATGCAGTAGCCTAAATATTGCATAATATTTTCAGATATCTGGCTCCTGGCATCTGAAAATGTGTGTACCACACACAGTGCATGGAGAGAGTTTGACACCATCATGTGTTATTTGAAACTATCCATGTACTAAACAGACTCCCAAGGAATTGGAATAAGAAGTTACATTTCTGCTTCAGAGTTTGGACTGTTGGAGGTATGGATTCCTGTGCTGTGGAAGTTCTCTTATCTGCATCTAGGTTTCTCAATTCTTGGAAGATATTTTAATCAAAAAGTTGCTACGCAAACGGTGATGTCTTCTCTGGTCTCTTAAAATAAATTGCACACAACTGACTTTTCTAACAATTTTTGTGTTACAGGGCTTAGGCATAAGTAGGTCACAATATGCTCAGATTTATGTAGCTATTGATATGGATGAAATGAGAACTCTGGGTGCCTGCAGGAACTGAGCACAATTGTGAGCAGCTTTCTTTTTAAGGCTAAATATTGCTTATTTGGTTGCATCAGTCTTCCATAGCTGGCAATATGGATCTAGTCTTCAGCTGCCTCTAAATTATCTGCTGTGCAAGTATTAGAGCAGAATTTAGCTTGCATTCAATATAAAACACGATAGGTTGTTCAGCACCAGATATAGCAATTTACAAATATTGGGAAAGACACTTTCTTCACATTACTATATGTTTTTCATGGAATTAATTTTTTTAATGCTGCAGTATGTGAGTGAAGTGTGGATTCTAGGTGAGATTCTAGAAAGCATTTGGTAAGGATGGGAAAGAGATCTAGAAATTGCACTTAATATTCAACATTCCCTCTCATCAAAGCTAAGGGTTGTTTAGAGGAAGCTTACTTGTACATTGAGAACTTGGAAGCTATGGATCAGTTTTGTTAGCTGGAAAGCTTCCATAATATACCCAACATTAGAGTATTTATTAGCGGTGTGAATTCTTTTTGTTTACCCAAAAGGCAATTAAAAAGTAGGGGTGCTTTAACAGAATAACAATTTCCTCAAATCATGAGAATTTTTCCTACAAAACCTGATACTGAAGCAAGTCTTTACTGCAGTTGTGATGGTTTAAATAACACTTCTTGCCCCTGTGTTCTAGAGGTAGAGATTTACACGTCTGTTTTCCATAAATGATTACTTCATGCTTCCTAACAATTCCTCCTTCCTCCCATCCTTTCTCACACCATATGCAACAGTTGAATTTACTCTGAAATAGCCTGAGATTTATAACTCAAAACAAATGTTTTAAAATTGTATTTGTCTTCCAGGATTGTTGCTTCTGTTTCAGCCCTGAGAAAGGCTTCTTATGCTTGAAAGCTTGTTTGTGTTTTTCCAGCTCTCTCTTATTTTTTTCTCTAAAAGGCACTACCTGTCCCTACAATCCTTTAGATAAAGTATAAAAATGGACAGGATGCAGCCTGGAAAATACAAAATTCTCTTTCTTATCAAGCTGATATCCTTTTAAAATAGAGAATATATGCTGGAGAGGAAGAAATGTAGTTATGGAGCAGTAAGATCAATATTCAGGATGCTTACATGTCTCCTGAGTTTAAATATAAAATTTGGAACACCTCCTTGAGATTAGCAGAATAGTGTCTTCAGCATATTTCCAGGAAAAAGACATTTCATGACTTTCTTGAAAGGCAAACTGACCAGCCTAGCTCATAAAGGCTCTACGTTGCACTATACCCACCTCTGCAGTGATTCTCGTCCCAAGGGTATGCACAGTTCTGGATGCCATTGCAGACTAAAGAATTATTGATGCACATGTTGCTATGGCAGAAGTAAGTGTTGCCTGAGCAGGGAGCTGCAGGAAAGAGGAGAAAGAAAACATTCAGAATTTTCAGTAATTGATGCACAGCAATAAAACTAGTAAGTTTGTGTTTGTTTTTTTTAACATGCTAGCACATTCTTTATCTTTGTTTCAAACACAATTGCATTTCTTACACATCACTAATTGTCAGATGATTTTCTCTCTCTCCATGTGGTTGCTTTCAGGTGTGTTGTCTATGCTACAAAAAAAAAATTCTTGCTCCAAGTGGGTAGGTACCAGATAGAGACAGTCACAAAATACAGATAATGGAAGAAGGCTTTGATTCGTGCCTTTAAAAACTTAATACTTAAAAATCTCATGCTTGCCATCAATTATATATTTATTCTTCTGTGCATCTGCTGTGTGGATGTTGTGAGGCAGCCCCTGAACATCTGCATTTTAGAGCCCATTAATATCTTAAGGCAAATCAGATTTCAGCTTGTGGAGGACTGTTTCAGTAATTGCAAGAGATTTCAATAACTGGAGGCATCTAAGTCATTCCTGTTTCTGAATCAAAAGCTCTTGGATCCTCCTATTAGAGCTAATGCAGGGATTGAGAGAGTACAGTTTAGCTTTTTATCTATCTATATATAGTTAGAAATTTGAAGAAAGAAATTAACTAGAAAGCTGCCCTGGAGATTTTATGGTTTTATGAATATTTGTTATAGCTCCTCGACTTTAGGAAAAAAGATATTAAAAAATAGTAATAATTCTTTTCAGGATGCTGTATAATATACATAGAGAATTATTTATGAATTCAGGACACTGGACAAAAAATTGGTTTTCCCTTTCTCTGTTTCAGTAATGTGGTATTTTCATCATTTAAATGTTTATTATTAGTGGATTCAGTTATATATTAAACAGCAAATGGGAAGATGCAGTCAACATTCCTAGCCATTATACCTATATCATGGGAGAAGGGCTAATAATTAAAATGGAACTGTTCATGATGCAGACTATAAAATAAAAGGCTCTTGGCCTTATTACCACATGTGGGGAGAAAAGACTTAGGTATTTTTTCCTTCTGATTTTGGAAAGAAAAATTGTGCAAGCTTTGCTTTATTAAGGATAACCAGGATCAGAATTTAAACACAGTAGTTTAAAATGGGTGTGTATGTAATAGGCTAAAATATTTCTGACTGTGAGATAAAGGAGGATCTATGAAATTCATGTCCAAAGTGGTGGTTGTGTATGTATGTATATATAGGTGTATATATATATATATATATGTATGTATATATAGGTGGATCTATGTGTATCTGCTGGTGTTTCAATATGGACCTGTATAGAGTTGTAGTTCTTTTGGAGGCCCAGAGGAATAAACAGGAATGTAAGACACATTCCCTTTCTTATTTCCCTGAACAGGTGGTTCTGTATTTTCGGTTGATCCTTTCTGCTGCTGCTTCTCCATCCACTAGCACAGTCTCTGTTGTACATTTTTGTGTAGTCTCTAACTTTTTGTGGGGATGGGGGGGATGTCCACAGTTTGTAAAGATGAGACAAATGGACTTAATTTTCCTTTTGTTTGTTATTTGAGGAGTATGAGGACTAAAAGTCAGAATGATTGATCAGTTCCAGTCCAGGACTTCAAGGACATAGCTGGACTCCTCTCATACCAGCTGCCTATGACTGGTGCAATGATCCCAGTGTCCTTTGTAACCAGCATTATTCATGTATTGAATCAAGCCAGAAATCAAATAAATTGATTTTTAACATTGGTCTTAGTTGAATTAATTAGTCAAATCTGCAAGTAGCACTAGGTGTGTGTCAGGTGACTGTCACGCACAATTAGTTCATTTATGTAAATCTTTTCAAAAATATTGATAGTTTTCATGGTTGGCTTTATATAATTACAAATCATTAGCAAGGTAGAAGAGAAAGATAGCTTAACAATCTGAAAATGTGTGAATTCACCTTTTTCAGTTTGAAAAATTGTTTATGACTAGATTATTTAAAAATACATGATACATTTGTCAGCCACATACTTTTCAATTACCTGCCAAGAAAGGCAGTATCCAAGTAAAAAAGAATAACCACATACCTTTACAGATTTTCTTCTGCTAAAGACTTTGGGTTGCTTTAAAATTGTAAGTTTGGAAAGTTATCTAGCTTTAGGAGTACTTAGTGTTTCAACCTCTTGCATCAAAAGAAAACAAAAAACCAAACGCCCCCCCCCCAAAAAAAAATCCCAAACTCAACAACAAAAAAACCTCTTAGAGCCACATGCAGCTGAGGAAAAGGGAGAGGCTCAGGTGGAGTGGGGTAGTTCCAGATCCGAAACTGAAAGCAGAGCTGCAGATAGGAAGGAGATCAAGCACGTTTTCTAGCCTTCTGACCACCCAGTGTGGGCTTGAGAATTGCCTGTTGTGGTGTCTGGCAGGGAAATGGAAGGTGGGGGCTAGTGAGAGAGCTCACTCTGGTCCCTGTGTTGTCTTTTTGAAGTAAGTCTGTTTGTGGGAAGGACATAGCCTTAGGGTGGTATTATTGCTGAATTCAAATGGAAAATAAGCCTTTTAAGAATGAAAGAAAGCTTTTCTTCAGGAACCACCTTACAGCTGTAATAAAGCAATTATCTAATTTATCAGCTAGTATGTGAAAGAAACAGAAACAACCTTTTTCATGTATTCCTGCTGAGTAATACACAGCTGATGCTTTCCCTAAATCACTTGAAGTGTCCTGATAGCAGGAGAACAGGCACTTTAAAATCTACTTACGGTCCACAAATGAAGTGAACAGCATCCTGAACCTGCTCAGTCTGCTGCCTTCGTCTGCCCACATCCTCACCACCCCTGTCCCCGTCTGCAGCATCACATCGTTGGCCACGGTGCTGCAGAACTTGGCCTTCAGGTTTTCAATGGAGCTGCTCCCGTCATACACAGCCACAAAGTTTCTCTTGCATTCGTTTGAATGCTCCATCTGATAGTCGAGGAACCGCATGTAGATCTGTTAGAGAAGAGAAATTAATGTCTCTGGGGAAAGTAACACAGAGAAGACAGTTTTCTTTCTTAGCAAATATTGAATAAGATGCATTGTTCCCTTACAAATATGGGTAGCTCCCAATTCACAACACTTTTAAACTTACATTTTCTCATTAAATGTCCACGTGGAGTATTACCTGAAATTTTGTCTTGGGTGTCTGTTTCACTTCTTCCCACTCCCCAAAACAGTCCTTATTTAACAATTTACTTTGATATATTTCTGGTCCCTTTGGAAAAAAAAGTACAGAGCAGCACACTTGCTGAAGAAACCCCCAAGCAGCTCTGCTAAATGGGAAGTCTATTACTCTAGAAGAGATACAAGGAATGCATAAATGTGCTGAAATAATTTTAATGGTATTTTGACTGTTCTCTTTTTAATTCATAAAAATAATGTTAAAATATAAGGGAAGGAGTCTAGTCAGAAAAGCTCTGAAGTAAAATAAGGAAATTAAAATTTATTGCTTCAGAATGAAAGCTAATTACTGAACCATAGCAGTGTTATGGAAGACACAAACCATGAAGTCAGGAGTAATTTGAATAAAAATGGAACTGAGAGAGAAAAGTAAGCTGGCTATGTAGGAAGAGGTAATAAATTTAAGCTAATCTTAATTCTTCAAAAAGCAGAAATCTAATCCAAGAAAAGGCAGCATATGTGTTTGAACATGTGCAGCAAGGAAATTAGAAGATTGAGATGGTACTTAAAGAGTAAGGAAATAATTTATTTTGCTGGAGCAGGAATCTCGTGCAAGATAGTAATTTAGTTAGAATGACACGAACACATTATAAGGGCTTTTTAATCTCTTAAATGGTTGTATTGGAATTCTCAGAATTCTAGTGAAAGTTTATGAGATATGAAACTAGGTCATCTATGCATGCTGCAAAGGCCATTTTCAACTTTAAAAATTTGTCAGATAGCCCTTGTTTTGAGAGAAGAAGTCTGTCCAGGTGGAGGCTGAGGTCTCCTGCTCTGTGAGAGAAGAGCTGCTCCTCCTGTATCCATGAGCTCTTCCCTGTGTGCTCAGATCAGCCTGGCTCTAGCCTGTGTGTGTTTTGAGGACCGTCTCTGATCACCTCTCTGGCCCGTGCTATGGATGCTCAAGGAGTTTTTTTGCACAGTGTGGGTTTTTATGCATCTCTGCCCAATGAGAAGAATCTCTGAGTCCTGTTTAGGTTGTGAATGAGGAAGTCAGAGTGGATGAATCCCACACCTGCATGTGCTCTATTTACCTGGGTTTCTGCCCTTTTGCCTTATCTTGCTTTTAACCCCAGCGAGTGCCAAAGCCTTTCAAAACTGAACTATGAAGAATTCACTAAAATAAAATTAACCACCTTAGTGTGTGGGGAAAAAAGACACACACCACATCCCCCCATACACCCAACAGGCTTTCCTGAAAACATGGTAAAAGAGCACGGGGAAAGACAGGTGAGATTTGTACTCCCTGGCTTTTCCTTCCCAGTGCTTCCAGAGGCAGGTTGCCAGCACTGCCTTCCCTTGCACCTTCTGTCCAAAGGTGCAGCCTGTGCCATATCATCTCATGCTTCACCTCACTGTTTTGTGATTTTCAGTATACCCTTTTTTTTCTGTTTTCTTTTTTTTCCCCCCTGCTGTTTCTGTTAGATTTACTGCTGGAAATTCTCAGCTACATTGAGAGCCTGTCTTCCATTGATGTCTTATCTCACAAACGTGGGTGTGAGCTGTAAGTGCTAGTATTTGGACTGAGAGATGGTATTTTCTCTTAATGATTGACTTCATATATCTGCTACAAAATTACAATGAAAACTAAAAATAATTTAGCACATGTGTAGTAGAGCTATTATTTGTATGAAAGAAAGGAATAATTCCATTAAAAGCCCTCACCTCTTCCCAAGATCGTCTGGGTTAGCATTAGGCAAATGTAAAAGGTCCTTATTCTTAGATTATATTGATTATCCTTGTAATTTTCTGAAATCTAGAGGCAATTTATTACATATATAACAGATGCTTCTCTGTTATGCAGATTTTAAAGGTACTTTAATTGCTGTAGTTGTGTCAGTTTTAAAAGTTTATTTTTATTACAAAATCAGATTGAGGAAATTAAAAATGTCTATGGTTATTTTTCTCAAGAGAGAACCATATCAGATCTAATGGATTTTATCACCATAATTCTACCAGAATTGAAGCTTGAGAAACCACTTTCAGAATACTAAGAATTATTTTTCTGTAATGTTTTAAATCAATAATTTAGGATGATGATCTAATCTCAGGACTCACCGAACTATAACTCTGCCTTCTTGCAGCATTCAATAATTTATTAAAATGCTTAAGCATAAGACCTGGTGCACTCAAGTGGCAATGTAGAGAGAAAATGGTTTTATTATTGTTTCTGGTAGAACTGCTATTACTTAGACTAGGATAGGGCTCTTGGGAGTTGAGTCATTTCCTCAAAGGCTCAAATATATTAATGGACTTTTACTTTCTTTCTTGTCTTGTCCTCTTGTTATCATCTTTTAGGTTGCTGTTTTAGAATGCACTTGGAAGTTGGTTAATAGGGCTGGTTAGTTAACTATAAGGAGTGTGTAAGAAGGCAGAGGTTTGTCATCTTGGCAGCTACTGCTTAGAAATATTTTTTAACTTTTATGTACATGCAAGCAGAAGCAAAATTAAAGATATATATGTTATAAAAAATAAAAATATGTACTCTTCTGTGCAACCCATAATTAACAAATACATGACTCTGAAACGTGTAGCTGTTGGTTTTTTTTTTTAAACAGGCTGTAGCTATTGTATTTTGGAATTGTGAATAGGATTTTATCCTTCTCTCTGCCTAACAACAAATCTTGAGTTTTTTAATGAGCATAAGACAGTGATGTTTTTATAAGCAGTCTCTAGTTCTGCAGCACAATCATAAATAGCAGGTACCTGAGTAACTAATGCTGATTTCTGGCTCCAGGAGCTGATAATGCCCCTTTAGGGCTTGGGCAGAAAGGGTCCAGCAAATTTTATTGAGATACTTTAAGAGATTGTGATCCTCTAGCTAAGTCAGAAGAGTGATAATTTCTCAGCTGTTTCCAGGTGAAAGCTGAGCCTTTCCTTTTAGCTCAGACTGCTGATGAAAGTGGGTTTTAAGGTGCTGGATTGTGAATGAGATGGGAGAAGCGGGCACGTGTTATGTTGACTTTGAACAGAACCAAATTCTCCAACAGAACCACTGGAAGTAAAATGCTAAACCATGGCAGTGAGATTTACTGGAAATTATCAAAGGTGTTAGCCAGCATTTTTGCCTGCAGTCTTCCAATAAAACCAGAGTTCAAGTCAAATGCCCTTGAAAATTGTTGCTTAAACAGTTTTCACAGTTATTTGGTATTTGAAGTTTCAAATAATAGGAAGACAGCTCTGTGGACTTGTGTAAGTTTAATTTCAGAAACAATTATCTATCTGGATTTCCTAAACCACTGATACATAACTCATTTCAGTGAAAGTAAGACATTATGCAAATCATAGCTAGTGACCATTCCCTGTTATGAATGTCATGGAAACACATTATATACTGAATCATGTGAACAAAACCCACCTTAGCATTTGGAGTAGCCTTAATTGTCCATATACAGTCAACTGCTTGTCCTGGCTTTGTTTTTCCTTCTTGTTCTACTTGACTGGAACGTACTATTCCATCAGCTCCTGAGAGCTCAAACTGGCAGTCTAGGGAGAAGATATACCTTGCTGTCAAATGCAGTATGATATTAATTTAAAATTTCATGTATAAAGAAATTGTTACTGTAATACTAGACCTGGGATGGGATTTAAAATGCCTCCTAGGTAAGTGAAGTCAGGATCTGCAATAGAAAGAAGTTATGAATCACAAGGACTATCAGTGCTCGAGAATCACTTCAAGGTTTAGTATTATCTGCAGATTATGTCCATTTTTCAGTATGTCACAATAAAAATTACCAGAAAGTTTACTGAATCAATTGGAGGGGAAAGAGGCAAAGTTTTTTTAGACGAGAACATTATTCCACGATTGACCTTATCAGAATAAGGCAATTCTATCCTGGCAGCTCACATTTCTAGCATAACACTAAAAATGACTATTCAGTATTTTCTTCCTACATTATGTTCTGAATTTAACTATTCCAGTTTTCACTGAAATTGCTGGAGCTCCACAAGAGTATAAGGGATCTTTCTGCGTGCAGAAAGATTATCTAGATTTATTTTATCAGACTGCTGTCTGTCTAGTTTTGAAAAATTTAAACCGAGTTTAGCAGAATATATCAACACTTTGAAATTGGTAACTGCTGTTAATAAAGAATGTGAAGAAGGACAGTTCAATCCTGAAGATACTTTTTCCCTGGGTACCTTTATCTCTTCTACTAGGCCAGGTAGTGCAGTTCGAGACCTCATTTCTGAAGGCAGAATTTCACCTTGATTCCTCCTCCATCTCCTTTCTCCTCACATGACGTGTGGGTAGTGTACACATCTGTAGTAAACCTGTAGTAGTACACTGTCTGCACAATACTAGTAAAATAAGAATATACTTTTTCATAATGGTTAACTGATGGTACTTGATCTACTGAGACTAGAACTTGCCTAAAAGTGAGTCTGTAATGGGCTGGGATATCCAAGGCTTCCACTTCAGTGATCAGGTTAGTGTTTCCTCACAAATCAGCACAGACACGTTTAAATGTATATTTGAAGTTCCAGCCTGGAACTATGCTAATTTAGTGATGTTTATGAAATGCCTTTGGAAATGAACTTAGCAAAATGCCTAAGTACTGTCCCTATGGAAACATTTTAGCATGTTATTCCCAGTGGACTGGCCACCATGTTTATCTGAAGTTTTCAAGTCTAAATCCCTAAGCAGTACTATATAATCATAGATAGTGTATTCATCTGCTGTAGGGGTAAAGACCAGTTGGGTAAAGGTGACATTAAGTTATGCCTGTGCATACATTTGTAAAAGGAATAGAACTGACACTTTTATATTACCTTTCGTCCCAAAGGACAATAAAATGCTGATAACCACACATGTAGTATCCATGAAGTACAGTAGTCAAGCATTGCACAAGGACATCAGGTCAGATTTTCATGTAAGAATAATGCCCTGCCAGTTTTAAGTGGCCCCACAGAGCAGATGCACTTTTTGTTTGTCTAAAGGCACTGTCAGCACATTATCCTCTCCTTCATCCCTGTAAACTACACAGTACTGTGACCAAAGAGCAGCTCTGTTGTCTGAGCCTGTGGATTGAGGGCATGTCGTTCTACTGAGAGCTGATGCTTGGACTGTATAGAAACATCCTCTGGCTTTTCAGAATGGAGATTTAAAATGTTTTGCATCTGGCTGGAGTGCTATTGTAGATTTCCTTTGGGTGTTTTTGTCAGTGTCTCATACTCCTGGAGGACAGGCTGTTGAAAATGCAGCTGTTGGTGTGCAGAGAGGCTCCTTCCATTACTACCACTGGTGAAACTGGTACGAGGTAGAGGAACAAAGAGGGATGCTGCTGAAGACTTCAGCATGAACAAGATCAACTGTCCTCTTCACCAGCAAACTATAGACCTGTAATTTCCTTCAGTCAACTTTCCAAAGTGGTTTTAGTCAAGTATCCCAAGTGGGACTGAGACTGTGACTATCACATTGCCACTGTGTGACATCATAAGCATTAATGATGAAATGCAGCTCTAGACTGAGAGCTCAAACACACCCACAGAGTTCATTAACTCAGGATTTTAGACATCTTTACCTGGTATAAATGAGTACTTTGCTTGAAATCCCTTTCCTTCCAGCTCCTCATCAGATGTAAACTTGATCCACATAAATCTCCCTGTTGATCTAATTAGCGCAGGACTTTTCAAACCACAGTAACGACTGATGAGAGGGGAGAAACCAAAAGGTCCATCTCGAACCTCCAGATGATCAAACCGACATTCAAATGAGGGTTCTATGTAATAAGGTTCATCAAAGGTCAACTCAATTCTTTGTCGTGGAGCAGCTAGACATAAAAAAATCGAGCAAAAGATTAAATGAAGGTCTAGATAAAAAAGCATTAAGACGTGAAATAATGAAGAGACAGGCCTCCAAGACAGCAAGATAAAAAGGAGAGTGGAAACTTCTCAAAACATATCTGGCAGTCTGCTACAAAATCTCAAAAATTATTTTGTAAAAGATACTTTTGCATAGAGTTTTACAGGGTTTTTTTGCTTGCCGATCTTCATTGTTGAAAAATTTAATGCAGCACATGTAACATATTAACATATATGCAGAGGTATTCAAACAAGATTTAGTGTTAAGATATAAATTAAAACCAGTGTTATGCGAAAGCAAAATACACAATACAGGACAAAACAGTGAGGTATGCAGAAAAAAATGGAGAAGAGGAAGATATGAAGAACTACTCACTGGTATATTTCTTAATGTCCAAATTTGCAGATCCATTGGCAGAAGACAACTTTTATTAGATTATTCAGAGAAGTGTAAAGGCTTCAAATATGTTATTAATATGCAGGTGGCTACAGATGTTGGCAAGTTTGAATCAGTGGCAGCCTAATATCAGGATCTGGATCAGACCCCTAAATCCTGATGAGATGCAGCTATGACTACTTTGAGACTGGACTTTCACATCCACGGCATTATACTGTGTGAATAACTTTAGTGTTCCTTGCTCTTGGCATCTCTTGAGCTATGTGAACTTCCAGATACTCACTGGTATCTGGAGTGCCAGCATTAAGGAATCCCACGCTGGCTGCTTTCTCTGAATGCAAAAAGGATTTACTCACGTGTCTCTAACGCTCCGTTCAGACCTTATGCCTTCTTTGTACGTGAGTTACACACATTTGTAGCTGCTTGTGCACACTGGCAGGGGGTTGCAGGAAGCAACAGATCTTGGCTAGAAATTCTAGAGGGCCTTGGCCTCACTCAGGTACCCACAATGTTTCTGTGTCAGGACGGTGAGGAGAGGCTTGGGAGCTGATTCTGTGCCCATGTCAACTGCCTTGTTTGACCCCTGAAGCTGGACAGGCCGTGTGTGTTCTCTGGTGCCCTCACGGTCAGGCAAGACTCAACACTTAAACTGTGCATGTGTACATGCAAAAAGGAGGGTGTCTGTGAACCACCACTATACTGTACAAATAAAAACTGACTGAAAGCTATTACTTGAAATATTTCAATTAATTGATATGAATCAGATGATTAAGCTGACTAATATTTTTAGCTGACTTCAGTGGGTTTTGTGGGTGTATTCTAATAAGAGGAAAAATAATTAGAGTGTCTCAAGTTTTGCAGCCTTTATCCAAGATATTCTCATTGGAATGTGGCTTTATTCAAGTTAATGACATTTTTTTGTCCTCATCACATTATTTTAATAGTGCCTTCGGCAGTGCTAACAAATCTCTGTATTTTTAGTACAGTGCTATGGCAGTCAGATGTATCTTTTTTATTAATGAAGGACAGCATAACGATTTTCTAACACAGTATGGTCTGAAAATAGTCTTCCTCTTTTGCTGTTTATTATCAGTGATATTAAGATAACAAGCTACAATTTTTATCTTAATAGTTTTGTGTCTTCATAGATTACAGTAGATCTGATGCTGCTTTTTCTGGCTGTGAGGGTATGTCTTATTCCCTACAGCTAATTTTTTTAATGTTTGCATTTCTTATTAATTTGTTATTATTACTTCAGAGAGCAAATTTAGGTTCTTGTTCAAGTAAATTTATGCAGAATTTATTATATTACCAGTATGGCTACGCAATACTTCACAGCATTGTAAAATGACACAGTCCTAACAGTTCAAGATTATCCATTTAACAGTAAGATTACAGCATAACAAAACAGAAATACAGCCTGTACCTTCTAAGATATAGATGCACTCCTGATTTGGGGGGTACATGTTTGGGTAGTTTGGTGAAGTAAAATGTCCTCCATTACTCGTCCGTACCCAGTTGTCGCACTGGGTGGGGGGAATGCGATTCACTCCAATATTTTGCCCACCTTAAGCGAAAAAAGAAGTGATAAAACAAATTTCTTCTGCAAGCATGCAGGTTTGATATTGCAAAAGTAAAACACTGGCATGACACCCAGCCTATAAAAGAGGACAGTAATTTATTTTGGTTGAAAACCCTCTTCTAAGGTGCCTGTTAATATCTAACTATATCTGGGCAGTTATAATTTGCAGACCTTTGAGAGGACACCCAATGCTGATACAGGTCTTAGCAGCCTCCAGTAAATTACATCACCTTCCACTGGTATCTTGGCAGCTTCTTGATTTATGGGGGTGAAAACTCTCTCTCCTGCAGAAATTTTCCAAGGAAATTCTGTAGGTGTCAGTTCAAGGAATTCTTCTCCTCTTTTAAGTGTGGGTTAATCTCACATACGAGAAAAGGTTTGTGAAATCAATGCCTTCCCCACTCAGCAGTCTTCAAAAATGTTTGGGGGTGGACTATTTGAAAAGCTTGTTGTCAGATACAGAAAACATGAATTCCCATGGTGGTTTCTTTCCCACCTCTATCATCTAAAACCATAGAACTTTAACTAGGTAAGTGAACTTTCAAGTTCTTTGTGACTGGATTGCTTTGTTCATTCAGAAGAAAATGCAGCAAATGGGGGAAAATGGAAAATACTAGAATTCATACTGGTAATCCAAGAGCTATTAATATCTGAACACAAGTACTTTCATTTATATTGCTCAATTAAAAATTACAATACTGTTACATTTTTTGACAGAAGATCATCAAACTAAAATTGTACCTTGTGTCTTCTGTGCAACGGCAATCCCTTCCACTACAAGGATTGTTACCAGCAACACTGATGAGAGAAATTGGACAGGAAAAACATCAGTAATTCATCAAAATTATAGACCATTCTCTGCAGCCCTGATTCATGCAAATCCAAGCATTACTGACCAAAACAACTGAGAACACACAAAAATATGTAATTTCAATTTTAGGAAACCAATGCAGTCTACAGGCACTGTTGGTTCTTCTTCCAGGTTCCTTATGAAAGTGTATATTAGAATAGCAATTAATTGTCTGGGGGGACTTTAAGAGTATTTTCTAGAGTATCTACTAATTTACAAGCATTTTCTAAAATTACATGGTATCTATTTTCTATAAAACTTTTATATCCTGAAACAAGATGTTTCACTGCTATAATGCATCATATTTATCCTAAAACTCTATTTGCCTAATGTGTGCAAAAAGACTTCTCCAGCTTCCAAGAAATTAATCTGGACCACAGGATTCCCTGCATGGTCTTATCCCTACATGGATTTCAGGAGCACTATTGAATTGTGCTTGCAGGACTGGCTGTTGTGATGCTGCCAGAACACCAGGGATTTCTGCAGATGATGTGGCAGTCGAAAATGGGCAGATACAAGTTATAGTGATCTCCTTCCTTCCTTCCTTCCCCTTTCTCCCTCCTTTCCTTCCCTCCCTCCCTTCCTCTCCCTTCTTCCCTCTGGGCTTTTCCTTACATTTACGTTTTCCCTGCACCCAAGAAGCATCACTATGAACAACACATATTAAAGATCCCAGATTCCACTATCCATCAGCAATTTTAAAGCAGGCTTAATGTCCAGATTTTCCTAAAATGCTTTGCCATATCAAATTGTTAGGGATTACCACGAGGGGAAAGGGGAATGAAATGGAGTATATTAATATGCCACTCTTCAAATCTCTCATTTGCTTCCATCTTGAGTATCTCTGCAATTCTGACACATCTCTTACAGAACTAGTTAAGCAGGCCTGGACTCTGCCCTGGACAGAAGCTGGCTGAGGGGAGATAGGATCCAAGTAATAAAATCACAAGTATCATTTAAATTCTGAACAGAGAGCAACTATTACTTTTCTCTTCCAGTACAGCAACCTGAAGCTATCAGACAAAGTTAGCAGGTGGCATGTTCCAATTAAACAAAGATTTCTTTTTTCTTTTTTTTTTCTTTTCCTTTTTTAATGCACACACTTTGTAACTCATCCCTGAAATAAATTTTATTTCAGAAACCCCTTAAGCCATAAGTTGTTGGAAGACTGGGTTAGTATTTGGGGCAAATATAATTTGGTCTATTTTTATACTCTTTCTGCTTTTGCATCTCTGTGAAAGAAGATACCAGGCTAGATGAACCTTTGATTTGACCTGTTATGGCCATTCCCATGTTCTTAATCTAGCTGTCAGACAGGTCTTACCACTGCAGCAAAAGAAAAGAGATTTCAGCAGGAATTTTATTGTCACACTCAAGAAGTTAATTTTATTTTCTCAGTTTTCCCGTCTGGTTGCTCAGGCATTTTAGTAGCTCATGTTGAAAAGGCATTTTCTCCATCTGTGATTTTCCTTGTGTTGCTGTAAGACTTTGAGCCCTTCAAAGAGTTCCAGAGTGAGCATGTATTGACTGTGAACTACGATGATCTTGACCCAACTCGTCTACAGGCTCCCATAATGTTGGCATGGATATATTATCTTGGGAAAAGATAAAAGGAATCAAAGTCTGCTCCTGAAAGTGTCCATATAGCATTTGTGTTTTATTATGTATGTCTCTGCTGCCCTTTCTTCTCTCTGCCCATACTGAAACAGGCTGTATTTCATTCTGAGACTTTCCTCACCAACAACTGCTTTTCCTGTGTAAGTCAAGTTCATAACTGTGGGTGTTTTCTAAAATACCATGTGGGTCTTGCAACAGGTGTTATCTTCCTAGAAGCTTATTTGATTTTTAGGGGTGGATTATGAGATAGTAGGTGAAGACTTAAGTAGCTTTTCAATTTCAATCTTTGCAATAATTCTGCATTTTCACCAGTATTAACATACTGGAAAATATGCTTTCTCACTGTTATTATCCCAGTACAAAGTATCTGTCACTGACCATTGCTGACTCACCCTCCTTCAGGTGAAAGCATCTAGCACCCCATTACTGGTCTTCAGGTTAGGAGTATTCAGTAGTCTTTAAATCAAATAAACAAATATCTCATCTTTATTAATATGACTGACGTTTGTTTTCAGCTATTTTTAGTTTTTAATATTTTTCATAAAGGTGCCACTATTTCACAATTATTTGCACTTTATTTTTGCAGCTTCTCTGTTTAAACTGTGCAGAGGTCCAAGTCTAAATGCACGAACTGACAACGCGTTTGTGCTCCTGCATTTGTACTTGTCCCTACAAGAGAGAATCTTGATAGTGGTTATAAAGTTATCAGTCTGTTTTCTCTGGGTTTTTCTACACTGGTTGTGGAGCAACAATTCAAAGTTAGTTTTTAAAGTAAATGCAGTTTCCACAATCCTGTGTAAATCACGTGTCAGTATGTTCTATTGAATTCACCTTTCCTGAAGATGTGCTGTGCCCACCCTTGTTTTGCAAGGACCTAGCAAGCTCTGTAGAACTTGCTGTGCCACTCCTCAAAGTGTGAAATGAGCTCTGACTTTTTTTCTTAGAGCAACCAAACACAGAATTATGAGTGAAATAAATACTTTTCTGACTAACAAAATGAATGCAGTCACTTTCAAGCAACTGAAAAATTTGGGAGTTTGTTTTTTATTTAGTACAGCTCTTTACTATGGCTACCACTGTTACTGTATACTTTTTAAAAAAACAAATATCAGTGTGCATCTGTTTATTTGTGTGATTGTACTGATAGCAACAGTGTAAGAATAGATGTTCAGCTACACTAACCATTGATTTCCCTTCTTGCTGATGTGGATAAAGAAACAAGCCCCCTAAAATGACTTCAGAAAATCTGGTTGGCTTTCTCTAAAGCCTGTGCCGTTTCTATAAATAGTCCAGAGCTGTGTATGTGTGTGTAAGTGCAAACAACAGTGCACATTCCTTGCAGAACCGCATGGATATGCAGGCAATTGCAGAAGATAAATGGGCTGAATATTTGCCTTAATGTCTTCCTTTTGTCATGTTGTATGGATGAGTGGAAACAGTAAGTATGGGCCACCTTCTCTTTGTTCCCTGCCCTCTTCAGTCTTAACCTCTTCCACCTCTTTCTTACCCTTCCCTGGCAATGCCCATCCTTCTCATGCTCTCAACAAACCCTGAAGATATATTCAGAGCAGTCCACGTAGCAAAGGTTTCAGGGTCTTCCTTTGCCATTACTTTTATCCTGGGTGACAGTATGACAAAGGAAGGAGGTGTCTCTGACTAATAGTCTGGATGTGTGCTGTCCTTATCTCTGTGACATTGCTCCAAAAGAGGTGCAGAGGACTTACCTTCTTCCTGAGAGTACTGGGCAGGGATGCCTGAGGTGGTATTGCCTTAAGCTGTGTGCATTTACATGACACAGTATAATGTGGGATAGCAAACAGGAGTCTGGGGGCTGAAAACAAGGCCTATCAATATTCAGGATGAAAGGAAAAGAAAGAAGGGGGGGAAAAATCAGTCAGATATTTTTAGACCTTTCAGACTGTTTCCATTAACCCATTTTTGCGAGCATTTTAAAAACAACAAAGCAATCACTTGGTGTCCTAAATCCATACCACTTCCTGGAAAAATAATTTTGAATCCCAAAGGCTAATTTGGACAATACAAGTCTGTAAGAAGGAAGATGTCTAGGCAAGAGACAAATCCTGTAGGATGGTGCAGTGGAGAGCCAGTGCTGAAACAGTGTCCTGGTACTGCATGTAGGGACACAGACACAACAATTAGAACAGACATGAGAGACTGAACTACACTAAGAGTCTTGTACCACATCCAGAAGGATGAAGAATGATCTTATAATTTCTGATAAACTGAAATTCAAACAGTTATAATGGACATGAACTTACAATGGGACAGAGTATTCCTCTGCTCCTTTTTTCCTCTTTTAAAATCTCCTACATCTCTCACTGACATGACTATTCTTCAGTGCAGATGAAAGACAGGTCTAGACTTAACTCCACAGTGTATTATGGCACAGGAACCAGAACTAGTGAGTCAAAATGCCACTTGAACATGCCTTGGTAATGTAAACAACAGCACACAGAGCGCTGCACTGCATGACTGCATTGATTACCAAAGGGATGGAAGGGGAGGTCTGATTGTGCTGTTTCTAATGGAGGAGTGTGGTGAGAATTTTCTAGAGGACACAGATATTGGAGGCTGATCTTATGAACTTAAGATACTTCATTGGTAAATATTATAAAGGTTAGTGCTTCTGCACCTTATACTGAGCTTCTACTTCATGATATGTACCCTGTAGAAGAGGGCATCATGTAGCCAACAGCAGCACACACATTGAGGCAGACAGATTAAAAGGGGCTTCTTTTATTCATGAATCTGGTATTTGCTACAAGCTTGTATTTCATGAATTCTGGTGCATACTTTTGTACTACCATTTAAAGCTCTCATAGTTTTTACCTGTGTGAACATGAACTAGGAGTAAAGAAAAAGCAGTAAGCTTCTGTCTCTGCTTTTAAAAGAATGGATTTTTCATTTTCTTCACTTCTTTGCATGAAATATTTTAGATCACATAGCCTGCAGACAGCTGTATAAATTTTGAAGAGTGAAGACACTAACTATACATTGTGAGTTCTTACTATTCTGTTGTTGAAGTAGGCTTATGGAATAATATAAAAGAAGCTCCTGAACTGCTGTAATAAACCATGCAATGTTTGCAGGAGTCAAGATTTTGTTGGCATTTCTTAAAATTTTCTGAAATAAAACTAAGCTGAAAAAAAGTCAATTTTTGTATTGAAGTATATACAGAGAGGTTCATATATGTGTGGCTTCTATTTCTCTTTAAAAATGAGAATAATATAGTTAGTTTTATAGTAAACGGGTCCTCAACTCAATATTGAGAAATCAGTGTGTTGCTTAAAAAACAAGTGCTTTAGGCTGT